ATTAATGTTAAATGATGTGAAGAGGGAGCCAGAGGAGGCTGGGAGTAGCACTAGACCACACTAGTGCTACTAGCACACTAGTAGGAGACCTTGCGTACAGGTCTCATCAAGTTCCTTCAAGGTCACTATTGAGTTCTTGAGTCAAAATTACTATCAGCAGCATTGCCTGTCTTCCTGGAGTGCCCAGGCCTGCCTTAGAATTCCTGTTACATTCAGTCACTGGCTGGGAGAATCCCTGGGGTAGAATAGCCTTGGCGCCAAGGGTTCTGGACACACCAGCTGAGACTGACTGGCACTTGCATGTCCTGCAGTTGGAAATCTGAGAGCAGCACTTTCATAGCCAGCACATTATTTGTTCTTAAAAACAGCTGTAGACGCCTGCTTTGGAACATCACTGTGGCTTAGTGAATGTCTCTAGTGATCCACACCAGCAAAAGCACATCAATGGGTTCAGCCATCTCTTTTACTAAATTAGATCAGAGCTAATCTTTCCCACATTCCTAGGAATATTATGGGAAAGAATATACAAGACCACATTAAGTTAAATTGCTGGCTAAAAGTAAATGAAGAGGGACATCAACTATTAATGATAGTTCACAATTTATACACATGTATATGAAGCTATCCCCATTTGGCTTAGCGATAAACTGGAATAGCTACAGATACTGCCCTCTAATCGACAAAGCTGAACAAACATGCAATAAGTAACAATAACTATTCAAATTTTCTCTTGTATGGTGGCCCTTTAAGTTTATTTATTATAAGTGTCTTTGTTGGGGCTTCTGTTCTATGATAAACCAATCATAACCAAAGGCAACTTGGGGAGGAAAGTATTTATTTCATCTTACAGTCCATCATTGAAGAAAATAAGGACAGGAACTCAAGCCACAAACCTGAAGATGGGAACTGAAGCAGGTGCCATGGAAGAAGCTTCTTATTGGCTTACTCTCTGTGACATGTTTCTTTTACACCCCAGAAATACATGCCCAAGGCTAGCAGTACCCCCACTATGGGCTAGGTCCACACACATCAATCATTAATCAAGAGTTTCACACAAGTAATCAGATACAGTCATTTTCTCAATTGAGGTTCCTCTTCCCAGATAGCTCTGGCTTTTGTCAAGCTGACACAAACTCTGATCAACACCATTGACCCTTCGTCATCTTGACACATCGATACATTACCACAAAATCATAACTCTTCCTTTCTTGTTTATCCCCCAAGATTTACATTCATACCAATATCACAGCAAAGGACATAAACAACTTAGAAACTCCCACAGTCTTAAGAATGTCAAACATTTTAAAATCTCAGTCTTTTAAAATATCCAACATCTCTTTCAAAGCTCAAAACCTCCCTACAATATCCAAGTCTCTCTAAAATATCCAAGTCTCTCAACTGTGGAGCTCCCATGAAATCAAAACAGAGGGTAAATACTTTCTTATTCCAAGAGGGAATACCCAAGTCACATTTATACTCAAATCAAAGCAAAACCTAAGTCCAGCAGTGTAAGAATCTGGGGTAAGAATCAGTGTTGAGCATCTTGGGTTCTCACTGTCTTCTGGGCTCCAAAGGACTTTGGTAGTTCCCTGTCTCTAGCTCTGTCCTCCAAAGCACACACAACTTGTCTCTTATGCTCAGGTCAGCTCCCCTCCACAACTACTACTGTCCTCAGCAGAATGTAGAATACAGTCTTAACTCCTTAACAGAGCAAATAAGTCCCTCAAAAGCCAACTCGAATGTCTCCATGGAGCTTCCCAGGACAACCTCCAAAGCCACAGAGAAACCCTGTCTCGAAAAAAAAAATGGCAATTTTACCAAAAGCAATCCACAGATTCAATGCAATCTCCATCAAAATCAGAAGATAATTCATTACAGACCTCAAAAGGACAATACTCAACTTCATGTGGAAAAACAAAAACTCAGGATAACTAAAACAATCCTATATAATAAAGGAACTTTTGGAGACATCAAACTTGACTTCAAACTCTACTATAGAACTATGTTTTTTTTTAAAAAAAAAGTTTGGTGTTGGCATAAAAACAGACATGTGGATCAATGGAATTGAATTGAAGACCCTGACATAAATCCATACTCCTATGAACACCTTATTTTTGGCAAAGAAGCCAAAAGGATACAATAGAAAAAAGAAAACATCTTCTATGAATGGTGCTGGTGTAACTGGATGTCAGCATGTAGAAGAATGCAAATAGATTCATATCTAATGCCTTGAACAAAACTCAAGTCCAAGTGGATCGAAGACCTCAACATAAGTCCAGTTACACTGAAGCTGATAGAAGAGAAAGTGGGAAATAGCCTTGAATTTATTGGTACAGGAGAGCACTTCCTGAACATAACACCAGTAGCACAGACACTGAGATCAACAATTAACAAGAAAACAGAAAAGCTTCTGTAAGGCAAAGATCACTATCAATAAGCAAAACAGCAGCCTAGAAAATGGGAAAAGATCTTCACCAACCCCACATCTGACACAGGACTGATATCCAAAATATATAAAGAACTCAAGAAACTAAACATCAAAATACAAAGCAATCCCATGAAAAATGGAATGTAGATCTAAACAGAAAATTCTCAACAGAAGAATCTCAAATGTCTGAGATGCTCTTAAAGAAGTGGCCAAATCCCTTTGCTATCAGGGAAATGCAAATCAAAACAACTTTGAGATACCTTCTTGTATCTGTCAGAATAACCAAGATCAAAATGAAAATGACAGCCTGTGTTGGAGAGGGTGTGGAGTAAGGGGAACACTCCTCCAACTGCTAGTGGGAGTGCAAACTTGTACAGCCACTTAGGAATTCAGTATGCCAGTTTCTTAGAAAATTGGGAATCAGTCTACCTCAAGATCCAGTAATACCACTCTTGGGTACATACCAAAGGACGCTCAATCATACCATCATACCCCAAGGACACTTGACCAACTATGTTCATAGCAGCATTATTAATAATAACCAGAACCTGGAAACAACCTAAATGACCCTTAGCCAAAGAATGGATAAAGAACATGTAGTATTATCTATACAATGGAATATTATTTTGCAGAATAAAACAATAACATCATGAAATTTACCAGCAAATGAATGGAACTAGAAAAAAAAAAAAAAAACATCCTAGGTGAAGTAACCCAGACCCAGAAAGACAAACACGGTATGTACTCACTCATAAGTGGATATTAGAAATAAAGCAAAGGATAACAAGACCACAGCACACAGCTCCAGAGAAGCTAAATAACAAAAAGGATCCTAAGACAGATGCGTGCATCTCCCTGGGAAGAGGAAATAGACGAGATGTCCTGGGTAAACTGGGGCCAGGTGGGTAGAGAGATGGGGACGGAGGATGGGAACATGGGAGATCAAGTTGGTTGAGTTGGGGGCGGGATGAAGGGGAGAGTGATGGAAGAGATATCTAATAGACCGGCCATTATGGGGCTATGGAGAAACCTGGCGCCAGGGAAACTCTCAGGAGTCCCCAAGGACGATCCCAGCTGAGACTCCTAGCAATAGAGGAGAGGGTGCCTGAACTGGCCTTTCCTTGTAATCAGATTAGGGACTACCCCAATTGTCAACATAGATCCTTCATCTAGTACCTGATAGAAGCAGATACAGAGATTCGTAGCCTAGTACTCGGCTGATTCCCGGGGATGCAACTGAAGAGAGGGTGGAGGGATTAAATGAGCAAGTCGGGGGTCAAGGTAGGAAAACCCACAGAGACAGCTGACTCGAACTTGTGGTAGCTCATGGACTCTGGAAGGACAGCTAGGGAGCCAGCATCGGACTGACCTAGGCCCTCTGCATCTGGGTGACAGTTGTGTAGCTTGGCCTTTTATGAGGCCTCTAGTAGTGGGACCAGGACCTGATCCTGATGCATGAACTGGCTCTTCGGAACCCATTCCCTATGGTGAGATGCCTTCTTCAGCCTTGATGCAGGGGGAGGAGCCTGGTCCTGCCTCAACTTGATATGTGCCATGCTTTGTTGATTCCTAAGGGAGGCCTTACCCCATCTGAGTGGAGACGGAGGAGGAGTGGATGGGGGAGGGAGCAGGAGGAGAGGAGGGAGGAAAAACTGTACTTGGAGTGTAGAATAAAATAGAAAAAAATAAATAAACACATAATTTTATAAACCTCGATGCTTAAATGCATGGCTAGAGACAGCACCAAAGGATCGGAAGTGTCTTTGTAAGTATCCTCATCATAACTTCCCATTTCTCCTTTTGTCTCCTTCCTTTCCATCAAGAAACGAAACTAAACAGCGTATCAAAGAAGTAAATACAGTATACTGCTGTGCTCAAAGGACACACCAGTCTGCCCTTCTGCCTTCATGGTTTGACCCCTCTTGAGCAGAAACCTGGGCAGTGCCCACGCTTTAACTTTAACTTCTCCAGCTTAGTCTTGCCTGTGTAGATCACGTCAAGGTCATGTTTTCTGCCCAGTAACAAAGTCTATGCATACTCAGCCCGGCAGATCCCGACAGGTGCTCGGCCAGTGTGGACCACTAGGGGCAGGCCCTGATGCCCGAGCCAGGAGAGGGGGAGCAGGTGGGGCTCAACCCTGGCAGTGAAGCCCTGGTGAGACATCAAGCCAGTCGGAGCTAGATGCCGGGTCTGGCGGCGCAGCTGTTGGGTGATGCTCGCCCTGAGATGTGATTAATGAGAAATCTGGAGTTTGATTTTTCTCCCTTGGTCCATCAACCGCTTTGCAGAGAGGCCTCTCTCCAGGTAGGGTGGGGTCTGGAGTCAGGCGGATCTGTGCTAGCCTTCCCACGCTGAGTCCAGCCCGCCCGCCTGGTGGCGCGAATAGCTCATCTTCCCGAGAAAGGGCCTTGCCTCCCGAACAGCCCCACCCCGAACCGGTCCAGTTCCCGGAAAAGCCCACGGGACAGGACAGCCCCGCCCCTAACCAGCCTGGTTTCCTCGCAGCACCGCTCGGGAAAAGACGCTCCACCCCTAAGAAGCTCCGCCCCCAAGACCCAAGACGGCCCCGCCCAGGGAAGCCCGGCTCCCAAGAAAGCGGTTCACCAGGATGGCCAGCTTCCGTGATAGCCCCGGCCTCCAGAGCCCCGCCCCGGAGGCCCCGCCCCGATGCTCACCTTCATTTGTGCAGCACTACGCTAGTCTGCAGCTGCAGTCTGCGGGCAGAGCGGACGTCTCAGCGTCGGTTTTCCAAGTCCTGGCGTGTTCTAGCGTGGGGCTGGGTGTTGGAGCACCTGGGCGACGCCGGGAGGGAGCCCCCAAGTGTCAGAAGGCTACCTGCCCGACGGCCGGAGTGTGTCTTCCACAGGTCTGTTTTCCTTTTAGTTTCCTTTACCTGGCGCAGTTTTCTAGTTAACTCAGGACTGATTTACCTCTGCGTTTTGAACTGGAGCCACGGATCTGATAAAGGTGTGTGTGCGCGCGTGCGTGCAGGCGCACTGAGTTACAGGGTGGTGGGCCTGTCGTTTCGGGACCGATCGCCCCTCGTGGTGGTTTCTTGTTTGTTTACTTCTCAGAAAAACTCAGCGAGACGTTGAACTTGAGGTTCCCTTCCCTGGGAGCAGTGCCGTGGAGTGGGACGGGAAGTGGGGTGGTTGGAGCCATGCACACGGGCATGCCAAAGCCAACAGACTCTCACCGCGCAGGGAGTGGTTGAAATGGGAGCTCCTTACAGTTCTTAGTCAAACAGCCAAAGTGAAAACGGGCTCTGCAGGCTCAGACCAGGTCAGTTCAGCTCATGGTCTTGGCCATGAGCTAAGTGGGCGTGGCCGGTGAGGGCAGGTGACACGGGCTATTGACAGTTCGTGAGCACAGGAGGAACAACTAGACAAGAGGGGCACAGGGCGCTGAGAGAGCTCTGAAGACCCAAGTGAAGAACCTGGGTAAAACAGACGAGGAAGGAGGGAGCGGAGAAAGGATTAGCGCTGCTATCTAGAGCTGAGCCCTTCCTGGGACCCTCCTAGGATGGACCCAGGGAGGCACTGGGTGTGTATCCACAGTTCCCTCCAGGACCTGGAGCTAACAGGACATCAGCTCGCAGCCGTTGTCGGGCTGCCCTGACAGCCATGTGAACTGGATGAGCTACTCAGATGTGGGGATGGAGAAACTGTGTGGCTCACCAGCTATATGTCCGTGGAACTCAGGGGACATGGAGAGGAGGAAGAGAGAGGTGCAACCACATGGCTCGCCGTGCCTGTGCCATGTGTAGTCTAATTCGTAAAACAGCCGAAACACTCGGAAGGGAGTACTGGAGTGAGCTCAGCTGTCAGCATAGAGGCTTCAGAAGACTTTGAAAAGACCTCTGGCCAACAGTGTGTGTGTGTGGGGGGGGGCAGGGGGTGCTTCCCACTAGGGCAGATTTGATCATTGGTAGCCATTTCCAACAGTGTAAGGAAAGCAGTCAGAACTAATGAAGTTTCTGACATGTCACACGACCCTAACTAATGCAGTTTCTGACACATCATGTGACCCTTTAGTCTGACCAAATACAAAAACACCGAGTCAACTCCTGCATTCGATCTACCAGGCCATTTAAGAACTTGGACCTCCTTATCTGCCTCAGGTGCTGTTGGCCTTTGCCCTTGACGCTACTGCTGCCCTGGTGTGCCTCTTGCCAGCACGCTCTTCCATCACATTTCAGGTTTCAGTTTCAAGGCTGCATTCTTACCAGGTCTTTGCTGTCATTCAATATAGTCTTCCAGTTGACTGGTCTGTTTCTCATTGCCACATAGCAACTGGAAAGTGTTGCGTTTTTATAATCCTGCTTATTTGTAACTTTTACTCTTCTTCTATATTTGAGTCATGAAAGTAGGATTGTAACAGTTTGTAGATTGAATGCATTTAGTTGCTTGCTTTTTTTTTTCTGGTTTCTAGATGTTTTGACCAACCTGAACCTCTGCTTCCTCTGCAGCAGCTGGCGGAACCATGGCAACAACTCCTGATGCTGCCTTTGAGGCCCTCATGAATGGAGTGACCAGCTGGGATCTTCCCAAAGAACCCATTCCTTGTGAACTCCTTCTTACTGGGGAGGCCACCTTCCCAGTGATGGTCAATGACAAGGGACAGGTGCTCATTGCTGCCTCTTCCTATGGCCAAGGCCGCCTGGTGGTCATATCCCATGAGAGATACCTGCTGCATGCAGGCTTGGCCCCGTTTCTTCTCAATGCAGTGAGGTGGCTCTGCCCGTCCCCAGAGGCTCCCATTGTAGTGCATTCCTCCTTGGCCTCACTAGGTAACATCCTAAGTAACTCTGGTCTAGAGGCCCTGGTTCAGCCACAACCTGGAGAGACTCTGGGCGTTTACTGCACTGATGCCTACAATGACACCTTGACTGAGAAGCTGGTCCAGTTTGTGAAGCGTGGTGGGGGCTTGCTCATTGGGGGACAGGCCTGGTATTGGGCCAGTCAACAGGGCAGTGACAAGGTGCTGTCCAGTTTCCCTGGGAACCAGGTGACAAGTGTGGCTGGAGTGTACTTCACAGACGTCTATGGGGATGTAGAAAGGTTCAAGGTCTCTAAGAAGGTCCCCAAGATCCCACTCTATGTCAGGTGAGTGTGTGCCACTACAAGCCCTTATACTTCCAACCCTTTGAAAATGGTGCTGATGCCCTTTCTTCAGGGAGGATCCACTTCAATGTAAGTGGCTGTTTTTACCCAGTTTTCTAACTGCTGCAAATGAAAAATGCAATCGCCAAAATGCATTAAGGCACAAGAAAAGCTGGTCCTTCTAGCCACTCCCTTCTATGGGAAAGCAATTATCCACTTAGGAGAAAAGTTTGCCCTATTTGCCATTTCTCCACGTGGAGTGCCTGAAGCTTAGATTGCTATCCATGTCCTAAATGAATCAGAAAACTATCTATATGAACATCTGCAGCTGGGCCCAGCCCTATGCTGGACACGGGGAATGCAGCAGAAATCAAAACAGACACTGTGTGCTGCCATGAAGCTTCCATGTCAGTGGGGAAATAAGCAGGTAAGCAAACCAATACATTAAGAATCCCATCGGATGTTGAAAGGAGCCACAAGAAGGGGGAAAAAAGGCATGAAGTGAGATTTAACGAGGAGGGTAAAGCCTATTTAACGTCTTCCAGGAAGGTGTATCAATCAAATTTGATTGCAATTCTATGATATTTCAAGCAGAAGAAATTTAGCATACAGAGCCCATAGTTCAGGTTAGAGAATATTAGAAAACCACGTAAGACTGGACCTCAGCCCAAATGGCAGGAGAGACTGGAGAAAATGGTGGCATTGCTGAGGCCCAGGTGTGCTGGTCACCTTACAGATGCTGGACACAGCATCAGTCTGCCAAGCAGAAGTCAGATCCCGAATGAGGGGTCTGGTGTTAGCCAAGGTCCTGGAGAAGACATGGTGTTTAACAGAGAGAAAACCCAAAGAAACCTTCAACCTCAGCACCTCCTTCCTTCTTGCTTCATTAGATAAATAGCCTCTGTCTTCCCTGAGCTGAATTCACCAGGGTTAGGGGATGGAAGCCCAGTAAACACAAAACAGAAAATAGCAGAGTATAGACCATGCCCGTAAGTGCAAACAAGCAGTGACCAGCAAGAGGAACCCTATGGTTGGTGAACAGATGGCAGGATGCAAAGGAGAGGAGGGCAATCGTGCGAGGCCATGGAAACAGACCACGGAGAGCTGCCGCTGTCAGTGTAGTGTCATGTGGTGGGGCTATTGGAAAGACGTAGCTGTGGTTTTACTCCCAAGATAGGAGGATCCAGCCGTCTGGGGCTATGGACTGGATATGGAGCAAGACATGGAAAAGAGGAATTGATATTTTTGATCATAGTGATTAAAGATGATGTCATTGCCGAGACTAGAGTGGATCTAGAGTTCAATTTTAGATTTTTTTTTGGGGGGGATTGAGGTATTAATGACTAATTTGCTTTTTCCGTCTGTAAAGAACTTACCATAGTGGATCAAAAGTTTCTGATGTATATTTCTTAAGAAACATGAAGCCCAGGTAGCCAGTCCAGGATTATGGCAGTTTCTCCATGATGTCCCCAGCTACACGCTTTCCTCTCTGTCCTCATTTTATTGCTTTTACCTTTTGTTACAAAATAGCCAACACTACTCCAGGTTCTACAGTTACACCTAGGCAATGGTCCCTGGAGCAGACACACTAGCTGGGTCTGTCTTGTTTCATCTTAACTTAGAAAATAATCTGTTTCCTTGCATTCCTGGCCATTAAATGGATCTCCACTGAGACTGGGTTACCTCTCTCAGGATGATTTCTTGCAGTTCCATCCATTTTCCTGCAAATTCCAAGATTCCATTGTGTTTGTTTGTTTGTTTGTTTGTTTTTCCGCTCCATTGTGTAAATGTACATTTTCTCCATCCATTCTTCAGTTGAGGGGCATCTAGGTTGCTTCCAGGTTTAATGAACAAAACTTAATCGGGTGGTCAAATTTAACCAGGCACACAGAGGTGAATCTGATTTTCTCTAAGGTTTGACTCTATAGCCAGTTAACAAGCTCAGGCCTGTGGGCCAGCCCCCTGTTTATGTAAATACAGTTTTGCCAGAGCAAGGCCATGACCATCTATTCCCAAATTGCTGTTGTTGCTTCTAAATTACAGTCCTCTCATCAGAGACCATGAACCCCAGAAGGTTGACCTGGCCCTTTAAATGTCTCTGGACATTAAGTCTCAGCAGGGTAGGTTTCTCCGTTGCCTCAACAAATTCTCCCTTTCAAGAAAGGAAACCTGTTTTTCCTCATTTCCAACATATACTTTTCCATCTCTGCTACTAAATCTGAAGTTTCCTGGTTTTTTGCTTGTTTGTTTGTTTGAAGTTTCATTTCCTATGGAACTTCAAGTATGCGCTAAAGTAGAGAGAGCAGTGCAATATTCCTCTGGGCAGCTGTGGCCCAACCCTGAGAATGACCAACTCGTGGTCAGTCTTGTTCATCTACTTCAAGAAACTGTAGTCAGCAGAGGGAAATGGCAGAATAGATGCACTTGGACCTCGCATGGTAAGAACATCTATCCTGAGAGATTGGCTCCCCATGCCCTGCAGCTCGGTACTGGAAGGTCCAGGAGAACACACTGTGCAGAGTCTCAGAGCCAGCTTCTATACTGGAAAGTAGGGAGGCCCACATCAGATAGAAGCACATAAGTGATAAACCTCCTAGCTCCAGGCTCCAAAATTCTGTGAACAGCAGGTTTCTTTGAGCCTGTTTTATGGCCCTGGTTTGGGAGTGGGGAGTTTTCCTTTAATCTACAGCTGCATCTCAAATTATCTTGAAACAAACAGCACCCATTGGTATATTCCATCTGCATTGCTGTGTTTCTCCACAGACAAGAACTCTTGAGAACAGAGCCACAGGGATGTCACCAATCCCTTCTGCAATCATCACCAGGCTTCCTTACAGTTTGGTGTGCGAGGTTTTGGGTCGCTCATGTACATTTCTTGTCTCAGAGCTAGTGTCAATGATTTCTCGAGGGATTCTGTTCCTTTATGGGATGTGTTTGTTGGTACTAAGATCATTGTCTTAGATCAAAATTAAGGAAGATCTGCCTGTTTTAGGATCGATAAATACATCAGAGTTCAAACTGATGCATCTTGTTTGAATTGAGAACAACGGGGATTTTATTTAATATCCATAGTCTCTTTTGGAAATCTATTCTTCTTTTTCCCCCATTTTGTAAGACACCAACATAATAAACTACTTGCTTTACTTTAATATACACCCAACAGTTACAAAATTTAAACGGCAGTACTAGCAACAGCAAAATGATTGTGGAATTGCTGACTGGCAGGAATTCCAAGGAGTATTTGCTAGCATTGCCAAGTTCACTTTGTAGGTTGCTGTCCTAAGGAGAGAGATAGAGAGATAGAGATTTCCCCTTTACAGGTTGGGTTTACCAAGAAGCTGACTCAGACAGACAATAGCCTGTTGCAAATTCCTTAAAAGCTGCTCCCAGTGGGGAAAAAGAAGGAAGAACAGTGGGACCGGGGTCGGGGGTAGAGAAAGTAGGCAAAGAGCAACAAATATTTCTTAGCAGTAATCCATAGCAATAATTATTTTCTGTGCCTTTCATCCTCATAGCACCTTTTCCTAGGGATATATTAAGTTAGATCAGTGTCCCTTAGGGAGCTGTTCTAGGTACCTAGAAATGTCCAGTCACTTGTTTATTTGCCTTTGCTATTTAACTTCCCAGAATTGTGCCAAATAGTTCTGTAGCTCAAAAATAAAATTTTAAACCTATATTCTCTCCCTAAATGCAATTCCCTTCTCCCCTGCATTATTTCTTCATTCTACCCTGCATTATTTCTTCATATGCATGAGCAGACATATGCATATGTAACTGTATTCTCTTTCTTTGAGAAAGCAGTGGAAGACACTATACATTTTCTCCACTTACTCTTTCCACTCAGTAGTATTCTGGTTTATCAAGCTGGGCGTGGCCACATAACAGAATGTGCTTGTCCCATTGTGCTTCCATGTGTAGATATTATGTAATCTATTCTTAAGTTCCTTAATGACAGACACATTTCTAGTATGAATTTTTATTTTTCCAGTCTTTTTACTATGACAGATGGGCTCCAATGCATAGATGTATCTTTATAACCTCATGGTGTTCATGGAATTGGGATGGCCGGTTGATGGGGTGTGGGTATGTAATTTAGTTAGCATTGCCATGTTACCCCTATTACAGATTGGATTCCTAGGGAGTTTACTCAGAGACAGAGATTGGCAAGCACAGCCCTCGTTAAGAAGCATCCTCAGTGGGGAAAGAGAACAAATACAGGGCGGGGCAGAAAGTGAATGACAAAGCAATATTCAGTACATATTTCTTGCCAATGTTGTCACTACTAAGTGAAACACAGTAAGGCATATTATCTACAACAGAAGACTTTTTAATAACGTATGGCATATACTACAGTTACACAGTGAATAATTATGTGGTCATTAAAAAATCATGTGTTCAGTGACCTCAAATGGAAAGCAAAATACTTACGATACAGTAAGCAATATTAAGACACACAGTTCTGTTAAAATGATGCCAAATTCATGGAAATGGGACATACACAGGCAGGAATATGAGCATGAAAAAATGGGGTAACAGGCTGTATATAACTGGGGTGAGTTGGTAATGACTATTTTCAACTATAAACATGTTAAATCCTCACCAAATCCCCTATAATTGCATTATAATTACATTTTAAGTGAATTCATCTCATTAAAACTCTTAACAGTAGGAACACGCTTCTTGATCACAATAAGACAACATCCTTTTACCTGATGTCATGCTGTTCTTTGAATGTGAAATGCCCCTCACAGCTGTAAGTATTAAAGGCCTGGATTTTTGGCTCACAAAGGTTCTGACCTTGCCAGTGGGTTAATTAGTGATGGAATCATAATTTGATGATCTTATTGGGAGTCGGTAAAAACTAGAACAGGGACCACAGCCATGGGAGTGAAATACTGAAGGCATTCCCTGGAAGGGGCGTGTCTTGTTCCCCGCCTTTTTCTTTCATTCTTTCATACTTTCTACGTCCAGTCATCCATGAAACAAGCAGGGTGGTTGCATGGCACCCTTCATGCTTGGATGTCCCGTGTCAGCACATCCCCAAAACAATGGAGCCAGCTGACCTGAACGGAAACCAAGAGCTTAAATGAACATTCTTTTTTTTCAATTATTTTCTTAAGGTATTTTGTCGTGATGACAAAAGGCTGGCTAACACAATTTATTAATGAGAAGTTTTAGTCACAATATAATGCCAAAACTTTCTGTAACTACTTTATTATTTTCCTTTGTGGAATGTGCAGAATGTTATAATTTTGTACTTTAAGGGAGGAAAAAAAAGAACCCTATAATCATTTTATGATCAGTTCACATCTTTAAAATAGATTGGCATTCCCTATCAAGGCAAACACCACAACATGTAGCATTAAATACCTTGCTTTATATAAAAACATTAAGGTATCAAGGCATTTGGGAATCTGGTTATTAAAAAATGTAAGCAATTAGTCTCAAACACTCTTAAGATGCAGACTCTCCTTATACATACTTGACATGAACACCCTGATGACAGGAGCCCTCTCTCGGCCCTATTAAGCCAGAACTATCTGGCATTTCACTTTACTATACTTCCCAACTCCTGGGCACATCGCCTGGCACCGTCTCCATGTTAGTCACCGGGACTCTTGCTAATGTCTCCAGCCTACCATCATTTACAGCTTGGACAAGGTTGGGATGTCATCTGCGCTGCTCAGTGTTTCACTGTTACCACCTTGATCTTGATTAGTTTTTTTTTTTTTCTGCAAGTTAAAAATTAAATGGCAGAAAAAAATCTCTAGGATGGCAGATAGCTACAGGGAAAATCCCAAACACAGCAGATGGCAGCAGACAGAATCAGTTGATAAAGGAGGGGCCTTTACTAGGTGTGAAAACACACACAGAAACACACACACACACACACACACACACACACACACACACACACACACACACACACACACACAGAAACACACAGAAGGAAAGACCCCCACAAAGCAGAGCATTGCAGCCTCTCCTGCAGACCTGGGGGTTTTGAAATCTTTGAAGAGTTTTCCTTCCCACAGATATTGTGGAACATGCAGATCCGATGATGAATTTGTCCCCCCAAGTCCCTCAGCAGGACCTCTACTGGGGGAGCAAGAGCCCACAGGGCCTTTTTTTTTTTTTCTTTTTCTTTTTTTTTTTTTCTTACTGACTGACTTATGTCTCTGGTTTGGAGGGCAAAGAAGAAACCGGCCATCTTGGAATTTCAGCATCTCTATTAATTAGTTATGGCTCCTGTCCTAACTGCCTACCAGATAAATTAAATCCTAGTTCCTCAATTCTAAGTGCCCAAGGTGAGTGTGACAAAGCAGAGGTCAACTAATATTTGTAAACTAGATAATAAATGAATGCTAAGACGTGGTGGCCAAAGCCCCTCTCCCCCAAACCTGACAGGATCCATAATTGCAAGTCATTGCTGGACGGTCCTGGAAGTAAGGTGATGGATGGCTCTGCACCACCCAGCTTCATCTGCCTATGGGAAGGGTCGGGTCATAAATCCACAGAGCCCCCTCCTAGCACCGAGAGCAGTGACTGTACCGTCTGTAGTGGCTAACCCTCCTCACAGTCCTGTGGAGTAGAAAGATCATTGTCCAAGGACCTCAGGTTCTAAGCAGCTTGGTTCTTACATCATAGCTTTGTATTTCATATAATCCGTAAATGACCATTTCCAGGTAAGAATTTGTGTGAAATGAATTAATCGAGATCCTGTAAAAAGCCTCACAGCCCACTGTGCTAACGGGAAATTTAAAACTGTGACTGGGAAATAACACACCAGCAGGTGGACACGGAAGATTTTGCTAACAATGCTGTACATGGCTAAGGTACATGTTGTACCTCACCAAGGACTGGACTAGCTTGTTAGAGAGGCTGTAACAAAGGGCACACTTCCAAAGCAAGAGAAAGTGATCATCTCGTAGGTTTTGGAGGCTATTATCTGAGATCAAAATATTTGTAGGTTAATCCCTCCTGAGCACGCAGGGAAAACTCTACAGCGCCTTTCTCTGATTCATGTATTTTGATGGTAATTTTTGCTGGCCTGTCCCTTATCATCTAGAGGCATCATGTCAGCAACACTATTGACACTTGGTATTCCTGTATGTGTCCTCAGTGTTCTGAGCTCCATTCTTCATAAGGACACTGAGACACCCTACTGGAATATGGTTTTGTCTTTAACTACCTGGCTATGATGCTATTTTCAATCAAGGTCACATTCTGAGGTGCTGCAGTCTACACTTCAGTAGAGGACTTTGGGATGGGATGGAATTTAGACCATAACAGTGACCAGTATTATGTTCCTTGTTTATCAGGTACAGAGTCCCTGTTAACCGTATGTCAGACACTATGTTAGCTAGTACATTAGTGATCTCTCTAAACTCCGAGAAATAGATGAGAAATGAGGGCTTTGAAGAGGAAAGTAGTTTTCACACGATTATCTAGTTACTTTGCCAAAATACAGTGATCGCACTTTGACTGGTCAAAATACCGAAGGACCCACTCCCTGGATCACAGAAGTGGGGGACAAGCCCAGAATCCAAGCCTTCAGGCAGCTGGTTTCTGGAACTGCCACTCCCCATGCTAAAAGCTTCCTACCAGCAGCTGTCAGGAGAAGGTGGAGGAACACTGAGGGTGGCCTGTTTTATTACCAGTTCGTGTAGCTCAGTGTCAGGACACCTCAGAATAAGGCTTGAGCCTCTAAAAGGGGGAAGAAAACAAAGTTGAACCCTGAACCCACAAGGCACTTCTGTGTTCCTTCGAAAATGAGATGACGACGTTTGCTTTGTTCTGTGCTCATGCAGAATTAAGGAGGAACATGGCATAAGACGGACTTCCTTTCAGTCATGTTTTATTGCTGAAATGAGCTAATTTTACTTTTAAAAGTGTTTGACTTTTATTTCAAAGCACATTGTTTTTAAAGTTGAAGTGATAAAATGATATCAAAATGATTTGAATGTCCTGTAACTCTAATAGTCAGGATAATTAATCCCAGAAGACATTTTGACAAATCATGGGTAGATTCTGTTTCAATGTCTAGTTTTATGATTTGGGGATTTTAGCATTTTTAAAATTTGACCTAAGTCTCCTAGAGGTCTAATTTTTACATTCCATTAAGCCTTTCCCAATATTATCTAATTACTGACTTACTATATAGTGTTAACTTACTATATATATGATTTATTTTGTCCATCTATTGTTTGATACTTAATGTATCTAGAAAATATTGTTTTGGTTTTTCGAGACAGGGTTTCTCTGTGTAGCTTTGGAACCTATCCTGGCACTCACTCTGGAGACCAGGCTAGCCTCAAACAGAGATCCGCCTGACTCTTCCTCCTGAGTGCTGGGATTAAAGGCATGTGCCACCAATGCCCGGCTAGAAAATAATTTTTTTTAATTCTTGAAATACAAAATCTTTTTTAAAAATATTTCTAATGTTGACCACTTCTCAGTTAAAAAAAATAGTAAGCACTCCTATAAGATTTAAGTAAGAATTTTTAAATTTCTTTTTACACCACTTATTTAGTGAGTGAGTATGCATGCGTTTGTACATGTATGTGTGTGGGGGTGGGTGCACATGCCATGGTCAGAGGACTTTCAGGAGTTGGTTCCCTCCTTCCAGGGACTGAACTCAAGTCATCAGGCTTGGTAACAAGTGCCTTTACACTCTGAACCGTATCACCTGCCCTAAGAATTTCTAAAAGATATATGGCTATAGAAATCAAGTAGAAGTAATTTTTTTTTTTACTTGTGACATGTTCCTGTTTCTGAGCAAACCTGTGGAGAGTACAGTATGATGTGTCTTCAGTTATATATCTGATCTCATGTCTGAAAACAACGCCAGGGGAGGCACAGGACAGAGTGCTGTCTCTATCCAGTATGCTAAATTTTCCAGCTCTATTTATATGCTGTGGTAATGTTTCAGACACACAAAACTTGAGGCAGAATATTCACTTGGCTGACTAATGTCAACAATTCTTGGATGGGGTTCATTTGCAGAATGTGGTTTTTAATGTCTATGAATAAGATCACCACCTCTCTCTTCACACCTATGATAACCTCAGTTACAAGAAGCACTGGTGTTCCGTGTGTGGCTGAGCAAGAGCAGACATGAACAATGGTACGTGATTGATTGATTGAAAAAAAAGAATTCTGTTGGTAATCTCACATTATTAAATCCCCGAATACTATTAATAAGGAATGAAGATTGGTGTGAACTATGTATTCTTTCTCTACCTTGAGGGCTAGAGTGAGTAACTCATTAGCTGAATACAGACTTTCAGTTTCTTTCATCTTCTTCCCAGGTGTTGGGAGGAGCTTGGGCATGACCAGGAGCAGCTTCTGGATGGCATCTCTGAGTTGAACATCAAGACTGGAGGTGTCCCCTCACAGCTGTTGGTGCATGGATCCCTGGCCTTCCCTCTGGGCCTGGATACCTCCCTTGGCTGCTTCCTAGCAGCCGCCCGCTATGGCTGTGGTCGTGTGGTATTGGCTGCCCATGAGGCCCTGCTCTGTGCTCCTAAGATGGAGCCCTTTTTGTTTAATGCTGTACGTTGGTTGACCAGAGACCAGAGAGGCAATATCGGGGTGGACAAAAGTCTCAAGAATCTACATTCACTATTGTTGGATCATGGCTTGAATTGCTGCCTGGAGTCCCATTTGACCAGTGACATGAGTGTCTACTGCTGTGGGGCTTATAGTGACCAAGATGCCAAGAAAATACAGGAGTTTGTTGCTGAGGGTGGGGGCTTGCTCATTGGTGGCCAGTCCTGGTGGTGGGCTTCCCAAAACACAGGCAACTCTGCTTTGGCTGGTTTCCCTGGGAATATCATTCTCAACACCTTTGGCCTCAGCATCCTGCCCCGGACCCTCAGCCCAGGCTGTTTCCCTGTTCTCCCAGAAGAGATAAGGAACTACCACTTTCGCAGGGCTCTCTCTAAGTTTCAGGCTCTGATGAACCACAAGGGTGGGAACTTGGAAAAGAAGGATTTGGTAAGGTTAGGAGTAGAGGCTGCAGGCTTCCTGCAGATCCCTGCGCACGGAGTTCCTGCTTATATGTCTCTGCACCGGCTCCTGAGGAAGATGCTGCGACAGGCAGGCCTCCCAGCCGTGAGTAAGAAAAATCCAGTTTCCAGTAACTCCTGTGAGGCAGCAATTCTCCATCTGGCCACAGAGCTGGCACACTCTGGGACTGATTGCTCCCAGCTAGCCCAGGACCTTGGCTGTCAGATCTGCTCCTCCAATCTCCACCCCTCAGAGCACCCAATAACTGTGGAGATCAATGCAACCAACTCAGGTATAGAGTGGGCAGAGAGTGCACAGTTTTCTTGGCCTGGGAGAAGGCGGGTTTGGAAGACTTTGCAGAACCTGGATGGTTCTGATCCTCAGAATGGATAGCTCCATGCTTTACTAGATAACTTCCAAGACAATGAGAGCTGAGATTGTGCTTAATTAAGGCCAAGGAAGAAAGGGTACAGGAAGTATGGATGACTTTAGAATCCATGGAAGAAAGGTTGCATCTGTGGGAGGCTCCAGGTACAGTCAGGCTGTATGGGAACACAGAACTCAGCCTTCTCTCTTGACTCGTCAGGTAACAGTGATGCCTGGATGAGCACTGGGCTCTACCTTCTGGAAGGACACAGTGCAGAGGTCTCTCTCTCTGAAGTGGCCGCCTCTGCCAACCTAAAGGTAAGGCTAGACACCTGGAGCCAACACTTCCCCAAACATGGCCAAGGCTCTCCCACACCACAGAGTTGCTTATATCTCCCCTATTGAGTTTATCCAGCAGGAGACCGGGGAGGGTTATTCTACCCAACTTGTAAATGAAACAACACAAAGTCCAGGCTATTGACAACCCAAGCTCATTCCTAAGCCTGATTTCCACTTAGAGGGATAAGGAAAAGTGACCTAAGGTACCAGTACTCAGCAGTTTTCCTGAGAGCAGGAGCCTCAAGTTTGACCTCTTCACCTTGACCCCTGAAGAGTGTAATTAATCCCATTACCTGCCTTGTCAGTCACAAAATACAACCTCCAAGCAGAATTCAAATTCTCCTGCCCTCTCTGTTCTGAGCATCATTTCCTACTACAGTTAGGGGCTCTTACATCAGCATTCTGAGATATCAGATTTATCTGCTTCACTATGACAAGCAAAAAGGCAACTCCACAGAGCTTGTAAGAGTGAGCTTGGCAGAGGGGAGCAGATGAGTTCTCCGACTCCTGGCCAGACTCTGTAGCCTCTGGCCAGGCAACTTGTGTCTGCTCACAGTGGGTAGCTGGGATGCCCTGACTCACAGAAAATATCAGACCCACCCTGATTAAGTCTGATTTAAGAGCCCAAGATTCTGCCTGGTAAAGGGACTCCATGAGCCCCTTGTCAGTTATGCTTGGCAATTAGCCAGCTCACCCCAAATGGAAATCTACTGTTAGACTGTGTTTTATGCCTAACAAATACTTCAATAGACTTTTAAATCCTAAAGATTTTAGCGTGCTACAGATTCATAGACTGCATGCATCCTTCGCATGCAGGGAAATTAGGATTTCATAGATGGTCACCACCATATGCCCCTAACAAAACTTTACATGGTTCTTAGGTGCTCTTGATTCACTTCATGTGGTGCAATTGTCTGTCCAGGTGCAGATTGGATGTCACACTGATGACCTAAGCAAGGCCAGGAAGCTGTGCCGAGCCCCTGTGGTAACTTACCAGTGTTGTATGGACAGAACCCAACGGTCAGTCTCCTGCCTCTGGGGTGGTCTCCTGTACATCGTTGTGCCCAAGGGCTGTCAGCTTGGCCCTGTCTCGGTTACCATCAGGAAGGCAGTGCCTGCCCCTTACTACAAGCTTGGTGAGTAGACAAGACATTGAGTGAAGATTGAGCTGCAGGTGCCCTGGTGACTGAAGAGGGAGACTAACAAGGATCAAGAGAGGGGAAAGGGCAGAACTCTTCAGCAGGAATCTGCAGGCAGGAAGTAGGGTCACCCTGTGTCTCTGGAGACTCTGGATACAGCGGAGGGGGGTCTAGCAGTTTGTCCTTCACCCACAGCATACGATAGCAGCTCACAGTTTCTGTGCTTTCCTTCTGGAATTCCACTCCTCTGTCTCTGTCTCTCTGTTCAAAAAGAAACGCTATGCATTTCCAGGTAAGACATCCCTGGAGGAGTGGAAGAGTTGTATCCAGGATAATGTGGGCCCCTGGGGAGAGCTGGCTACAGACAACATCATCCTTACAGTACCAACGGAAAGCCTCAAAGCTCTGGAGGACCCAGAGCCTCTGCTCCAGTTCTGGGATGAGATGATGCAGGCCATAGCCAGGCTGGCATCCCAGCCCTTCCCTTTCCAAAGGCCTGAGAGAATTGTTGCTGATGTGCAGATCTCAGCTGGTGAGTGCTCCAGGGGAGTGCTCCTAGTGGGCAAACTGTATTGTTATTATTTCACCTTTCTTGTTAGTGCCCAAGAATTGTAAAGCATAATTTTGTTATTAAAATTCAAGGAGGTGGGGGGAGGATGTAGCAACATGGGCCATGATGGGAGTGAAAGATGTTTACTACTCAGAGGTCAGTCATTGGCATCCTACAAGATGCCATTTCTTAAGCAGTAATCATGCCCAGAAACTTGATGCTGGTGCTGAGAGGCCACCAAGTGTCTGTCAAGATCTTTTCAAAAGAATATTCAAAATGGACTAATTTCTTCAGACATAAGTCATAATTGAAAATGAAGGGGGAGGGTGGAAAAAGAAGTTTAAGGTACGTATGGGTACCAAGGGCTTTGCAGAGAAGATATAAATAAATGTAGGGAACAGTTCAGAGTCCTGCTCCCCTCATAGGGAAGCTAAATTTTTATCTAAAAAACTCTCTCTATTCTATCTGGCAAGTCTTGTTAATAATGCTTGTTTGGGGGAAAACTGACATTACCCTAGCTTCTCTGGTCCGGGGTATCATTACATTCCAGCAAGGACAGTTCTGTAAAGTATCTTCCCACTCTGCAGAGTCAGAGTAAGGACGAGGCCAGGGAGAACCTAGGAAGGGGTCGATTACTGTAGAAAAAGCCGGATGCTTTCCAAACAGCACAGGTATTCTGGAGTCACTGGATACAACCAGGCTTGTGAAGGAAAAGCTCAACAGTGGGAGGAGGAAGTTGAGGCAGACCCTGCTTTCATGCTCCATCTCTTTCTTTGCGTCCGCAGGCTGGATGCATTCAGGGTACCCCATCATGTGCCACCTGGAGTCTGTGCAGGAGCTCATCAGTTTGACAGCCATGAAAAGTGAGGGCCTGTGGGGACCCATCCATGAGCTGGGCCACAATCAGCAGCGCCATGGCTGGGAGTTCCCTCCCCACACCACCGAGGCTACCTGCAATCTCTGGTCAGTCTATGTGCATGAGACAGTTCTGGGGATTCCCAGGGCTCGGGCCCACCCCGCACTGAAGCCTGAAGAACGAGAGAAGAGAATCAAAGACCATCTTCAGAAGGGAGCACCGCTGTGTGACTGGAATGTCTGGACAGCACTGGAGACGTACCTGCAGGTACTGAGCACAAATTCAGAGAGATGGTGCTGACGTGCTACTCAGCCATGCAGTACCCTGCCTCCTCAGAGCTCTCCAAATCCCACATGAACTCCCCAAAACTGGGACCACCACCACCACCCCTGGGTGTGGGTCACTAGAGGTACCTCTCATCTTATATACTTGTATGACAAAAGTGACTCCTCTCCCACTTCCAGGATTTTGGAATATACAAGGAAATGGAAAGTATTCCGAGAAATTACATGGCACATTTTTTTCTGTACTGTCCCAAACTTTGACTTAGAGGGAAGGATCTCAGTCATGTCCCTGACTCCTCCTCTCACCAGCTTTGTCCTTCATCCCTAATAACTGTTCCATAATAGTCATCATTTTTTATTTATTAAATTAAAATGATCTTATTTTGCATATAAATCCCAGTTCCCTCTCCCTCCCATCTTCCCATGCCACCCCCCATCCACTCCTCAGAGAGGGTAAAGCCTTCCATGGGGTATATTCAAAGTCAGTCACATCATTTGGGACAGGACCCAGGGCCGCCCCCCCCTGTATCTAGGCTGAGAGAGCATCCATCCATAGGGAATGGGCTCCAAAAAGCCAGTTCATGCACTAGGGATAAATTCCACTGCCAGGGGCCGCATAGACTGCCCAAACCCCCCAACTGACACCCACGTTCAGGGGTCCTGGTTCAGTCCTATGCTGGTTCTCCAGCTGTCAGACTGGGGTCTGTGAGCTCCTGCTTTCCTCAGGTCAGCTGTTTCTGTGGGTTTCCCCCAGCAGAATAGCCATTGGCTGGTTATGCTTTGTTTTCCTAACCTTTTTAGGTTGAGTGACTATTACCAGCCTCTTACAATGACAGGGATATGTTTATATGGCAACTGCATTACCAGGAGATGTTGTAGGAAAAATATCTATTAACAAGGTTCCCAGGTGTTGACTACCTCACTAGAAGCAGAAGCAATGTTTGAATAAATAATGGCCAACCAATTGGAGAGCAATGAAGTTACAAAACTAGTCCATTTCCTGCAGATAAGCATCTATCCCTGTCCCCTCTCGCCCCCCCCAAAAAAAAAACATGCTTCCGACTTTCATGGCCAATCATCAAAGCTCCTGGCCACAGCAGACCTTTTGCACTCTACTGCAACTTTGTGTAGAGGGCTTAAATGGCTCCCTTGTCACAGAAGTTCATAAACCATAAGTCAAGAATTTAACCGACTTGTTCAAAAGCACCCACTTAAATGACAAATCTGCAACTTAGAATCAAGAGTTAACAGCAATCCCTGGCATCTTAGACTACTACACTCTAATTTTTTCCTTCACTGATTTTGGAGAGTGAATGAGATATGATCTCAGCCAATGAGCAACCCAACTCAGTCAGGCTAGCAAAAGTACTTATAATCTGGGTAACACGTTAAAAAAATAAAGCTAATAATAGTAGCTGTCTTCTATTGAGTGACTCTTTACATGATAGGGTTCTAGAGGGCATCTTTATGAGATTGAGGGGTAAAGTTTTGTAGCTGTGATCCAGTAAAGTAGCATTTGTATGGGCACACAGGACTAGAGGTGGGACAAACCACGGGTTTGACGCTGAAGGGAAGCAGTCCCTGATAGCTGGATATACCCAGGACAATGGACACAGGCAGCAGTCATGTCAGCAAACTCAACACCATATTCTTCCCATTCTTTCTCTTTCCAGCTCCAGGAGGCCTTTGGGTGGGAGCCATTCATCCACCTCTTTGCTGAGTACCAAACGCTCTGTAGCATCCCCAAAGACAATGAGATCAAGATGAACATATGGATGAAGTTATTCTCTGAAACCGTGCAGAAGAACCTGCTGCCTTTATTTGAAGCCTGGGGCTGGCCTGTCCAGGAGGAAGTGGCTGAAAGCTTGGCCAGCCTGCCTTGCTGGCAGGATCACCCCCTGAAAGTATACATGAGTGTGGAGAAGTAAGGGGAGTGGAGCAGCAGGCAGGGGCGGGGCGGGGAGGGGAGGGGTGAGGAAGGAGGACCACACTGCCAGCTTCACCATTGTGTTCTGGCTTGAGACACTCAGTGCCTTAACTGTTTTTCTCAACCATTTGTCTTGAAAATGTATTTTGGGTGTTGTAAATATCATTCCAGGCTTCCGTTAGAGCCCAGAGTTCCTTGTAACAATGGGCCTAGAAAATGTCCCTTTTCACATCCCACCAGCACATCCTCAACTCAGGGACCCTTTCCTTACATATTACTGTCCCTTAGGTGCTTTGCACATGAAAGGCATTGAGGAAATATTCGCTGTGCGAAACAACAGCAAGGTCCCTTGACACAGATGGAACAATCAGTCCACTGTCCCGGGAACTCTGCACAGCATTTTCTGAGTTACATGGATAATATTCCAGCTGACTTCCAAGGCAGATACAGTTAACATCACCTCATCATACAGGACAAAATGACATGGGATGAAGCAACTTCTGTAGTCAAAATCGAGAAGAAGAAGAACCGGGGCTGGCAGCTGTCTGTAGCAATGAAAGACTGAAGAGCTCGTCCTCAACAGATTGATAATTTTAACAAAAATTTGCCCAAAGGAGAGATGGGAGTTTAATGATCTCTTATTTTTTTTTCCCTAAGCTCATTACAGCATTTTGACTAAATATCAGATTGAATCTCTAAATGGTTTTGGTGTCTGATTTTCTCTTTGCGTCAGCATAGACTCTCATCTGCCTTAGGGGCACCCAGCCTTGAGAAGGCATCTGAACCAAGACATTTCAGTTCCCAAACCGGTGGAATTCTTAATTGTGATGGGAGGAAGGGGTGAGGAGAAAGATAATGCTGGAATTAACAGGTTGCCTAGGAGACAGAACGAAAACCTAAGCTTGTACATGCAACCTCTATGCAGGACCTGGAGCCCTGTGGTGGTTTCTTCTCACTCTGCAGACAAATGCTGGCTGTTTTAATGTTCATGGTATTTTGTCTGTGGATGCAACATTTACAGATTACTCTTGAATGCATAGAAACCAATTTTCTGCCCACAGTTTTCTTGTTCTAAGTTTAGAAACCTTATTTGGAGAAAAATATCCTAGAATAGTAAGCTAAGACAAAGTCCCAATGCCAGTGAAGTCCTACCCCTCCATCCCACCCCCACCCCACCCTGCTGAAGAGCTGTTGGCAATCTATGGCTACTGGGAGGGTAGTCAGCTTTCATCAGAGCTGTGGCCCCCAGAGGCTACCTATGACTTAGCATCCGCTCACATGCAGGCAGCACTAAGAGGAGTATTTAAACTATGAGCATATGAGTGTAGGAGGAAATAGATGTTTAGGGATCGGGGAAGAGTGGGAAGGAAATGGGGAGTGGTTTTGATCAAATGCCATGTGTGTATGGAGTTCTCAGACAATACAAATGAACAATAAGCTAGATGGAACCCAGCTTTTCTCAATGGGGATTTGTTCTGGTGGTTTTTCCTAAACTAAACACTTTGGTTTGGTCTTGCATGGGACATTGGATTTCTTGGGTTGAGTCTCTATCATGAGCTACCGTATTACTTGGGGTCAAAGCTCCATCAGTTCTCCTTTGTCTGTAATACACAGAGACAAGTTGGTTTGGAAGGGATTGACTTCCTTGTAGCAGAAGCGGGCACAGGATCTCAGCTTGGTGCATCTGATTCATACCTTCTAACCTCAGCTCGTTAAAGTAATGGAAGGCGGTCCAGGTCAAGCCACTGAAGAGCAAGTCTCAGACTTTTCATGCATAGACTGGAAAGCAGGCATCACCTTTGATACTGGGGAGAGAAGTTTCACTGGATTGCCCAAAACCTTAATCATTGTAGCTAGACAAAGAGACGGTCGAGGGAAGGTTATTCTTTTTTTTTTTTTTTTTTTGGTTTAGAAGTTTCATAATAAACTGTATTACACATTTTGAAATTTCATAATGTTACCATATTTCTCATAGCTATAGAAATAAATTTTAATGATTTATTTATTTTGTAAGCATTGGTGTTATGCCTGCATGTGTGCTGTGTGAGGGTGACAGATCACTCAGAGCTGGATTACAGACAGCTGTGAGCAGCCATGTGGGTGCTGGGAATTGAACCTGGGTCCTCTGGAAATCAGCCAATGCTATTAATTACTGAGCCATCTTTCCAGCCTCTAGAAATAATTTTAGTAAAAAGCTTGAAATCATCTCATAGAAAAAGTAGGTCTGAAAGTGAATAGAGATGGAGACAGAAATTCTGGAATGGACCATTTTTGTTTTAAGTTCTTTGTTATTTATTTAACATTTTGCTTCTGTTGTATACTAACCCTGCTTAGTTTTTATTACAATCTTGCATACAATACATTTTATTCAAAATGCTCACATATTCTTTCCCCTCATTCAACTTCTCCCAGGTCCTCCCCACCGTCCTACCACCCAACTTTATGTCCTTTCTTTATATATAGTAAAATAAGTTGATGCAATTGCATGATTTGACCCCTGCATATATTTCCAGATTTGTGTTCCGCTCATCTCTACCTCTTTTCCAGCCACGATGCCCCTGTCATCTCCAGGCATGTTTCTCATCTCTAGACTGCTCTCAGCTCCTGTATCTTTCTTGCCTCTATCTACCTGGATTTCTTGTACTTCATAAAAGATTAGAGACCTTTCTGGCTTCTAGGCTTTCTCTATGGTATAATGAACAAACCAACAAAGCACTCATCCTACTTAGAATTATATTTTCAAAGATGAAGAATCATAATGCATGACAAATTTATCATAAGAAAAGGGAACACTTTTCTAATTAAGCATTCAATTTTCTTTTTCCAGACCTCAAACACTAATGGCCTATAATCTTTCAGAATTACAAATAATTTCAATTTATATTTTCTCTGTTATTTAAATATCAGTAAAAAAAATCCATATGGTTTAAATTGCATTTAGTAAAATCTTGCCCTGTAATGAAAGATATACAATCTTGGGATCCACATTATAACATCATGGGGGCGGGGAGTCATCTAACCAGTTGAGACCAAGAGAGAGGCCTTTCCTAATTCACATGAAGCTGATGTGGCTTTAATGAAGAGATCCTGTATATTAACTTGGATTAATACATTGCTGTTCTTAAGGTCTCCTCCTCTTTCACCAACACCTCCTTCTCCTCACCTGCTTTCTTCTTCTCCTTCTTTTTCTTTTCCCTCCTCCTCCTCCTCTTCTCCTCCTTCTGTTCCTCACCTAAAGATTACTTTCCCTGGACATACCCTCATGTTTCAGGCTTTCACACCACCTGTTCTTTTCCTTACACACCAGTCATCCCCTTGGTGATACTTGTGTAATCCCTCCCACTTCATGGAGACTTTGTCAAGGCAGGGGCAGTGTCTCTCTTAGTCACTGCTGGTCCTGCCACCCCAAGTAAGAGCCTGTCATGTGCCAGGTTGGCCCCAGAGAGTCCCTGACTGGAATACTCTAAACAAGCCTGTAATTGCAGGGAAGATCAGAAGTGGAGTGCCAATGCCTGTTCCTGCTCAGTCTGCAAAGAGCCACCTATCTATCACTGTCCAGGAAAAATACTGGATCTTCCAGAGTAAAGCTTTAGTGGTACAGTTACTAGTCCCTATGTCTAGCCTCTGAATACAGGCTTCATTGTGAGCATGGCTTTTCCAATTCCTTTTTTTAAAATTTTCTGTGTATGTGTTCCACTGCTGCCTGGTGACTCTAGAGACCAGAAGATGTTACTGGGTTCCTTGGAACGGAGTTGAAGAGATTGTGAGCCAGAGAGCAAAGTTTACTTCAGGAAAAGCAAAAAGTCACAGGTGATGAAGAAGAGAACATCCCTTTTACATGTTAGGGATAAACTGAGAAAGAAGGGATTCTGTGGGTTGGTTAGAATTAAAACTGTAAACTCTGTCAAGCCCCAATCTAAAGAACAGAACTGAGTGAGAAGGATTGTAGACCGATGGAGAAAGGAAACCCTTCACCCTGAGGAGTAAAGAGCTCGCTCTGAGGTGCAGCCCCTCAGCAATCACTTAAAATGACACACTACATCTGAGCAAGAGGATCCTACATACTGTCAGCCCAGAGGAGCAACTGCACTAGCTCCATTTAAGAAGTCTTTCAATGGGGCCTCTATTTTTTTATGGTTTCCAACAAATTTCTGAACACTGCTTGGCTTCATTTTCTTTTTAAAGTAGCTGGTATAGACTAGGAAAAGGTTTTTACCAACTACACATCTGAGATAGGGTTGATTTAGTCATAGTTCTCTAGAGTACCAGAACTTAGAGAATGACCACATATATACAAAAAAGGGGTTTGTTAGAATGACCTACAGGCATTGGACCAGCAAATCCAACAATGGGTGCCTGTGAACATAAGATTCCAGAATCCGGGAGTTGCTCTCAGTCCACAAGGATAAATGCCTCAGCTGGTCTTCAGTGTACTCTGGAATCCAAAAGAAACTCTAATGCCAGTGAGTGTTGGAAGGCCTTGCTGTCTGGTAGAGGTTTCAGCCTCTCATGGCCTGGAAACCTTTCCAGAAAGCTTGACAGCATGGAAACTCCCTCCCCAGCGAAACTTCCTCCCTCTACCTGAGTTTTATCTGGAGAATGTCCCTGAGCCTGAAAGACTGACCTCATCTGAAAGCTTTCTCTAAACCAAATGTCTGATTCAGCTTGAACCCTGGAACAGGTTCCTTCTAGAAGACTTAGCCAGGATCTCTGTCATGAGACCCTATTGCCACATACTAAGCCTTGTGATGGGAGCATGCCACTTAATTCGAATTAAGATTTTTCCTTAGACTCCCCAAACGCATGCCTTCCTTATACTCTGGAATAAAGTTGGGCTGATTCGCCGAAGTCTGTCTCCCAAAGGACTGTCTCAGTCATACCCACAGCCATCCTAACCCTGTTCCCCACTTCTCCTCCCTCCACCCTCATGGACCAATGTAGCCAACAACCCCAGAAGAAGCAGAACCTCAAATGAAGAAGTGGACTTGCTAGGGAGGGCTTCCTTCT